TCGACGCGCCAGTACCACTTGTACTTCTGGACGATGGGATGCTTGTAGAAGAACTAAGAGGGAATCAATGGGAGAAGTAATCCCAGTGAAAGTAGACGTACTCCGGAGTTAAAGCGACACATATTGCGGTACGAAACACTGCCTCCATAGATGATGTTGTCCTGGACCATCTTCTCCCGACTTGCACTCGCCTTCTCTTCATCAATCCAGTCAGGCTGTTGCCAGTGATCTTGAGGTACCACGCCGAATTCAACGGGTCCAGAAATAACGTTCGACACGCGTCTCTTAAACTCATCCGAGAACGGCTCATCGTTGAGGAACACCCAGGGGTACTGGAATTTGTGGTTGAAGCGATCCTCGAGGTCGCGCACGCTTCGAATAGCGGCTTCTGTATCACTGTTCCGTGTAAGCATCAATATCGTTGCGTTCGCTCTACGTCCTGATGGAGGAGGCAAGTCGTCGATATCCTCGGAGTCTCCATTGAACGATAGCTTAGAGGAGATTTTCGACAGAGATGTTGCTCGGCCATAGTCTTCATGGGTGAAACTGAGTATCGAATGCAGTCCCAGCTGTGGGGAATGTCATGAGCACCCGAAGTTTCTATTGAAGAAGGGTCGGCGACACTCACGACCACCACGAGGACGAGGATCACGTATCGAGTAGTAGTGTTCATTTTGGGGACCTCAAGAATAGCTGGGGTTAATCTGGGTGGTAGTTGTGTCCAGCCTTGCCAGCAAAGCAACGAGGTATAACAGTGAAACAAGTGGACCGGGATGAAGATGCGAACAGCTCCCAAGTTGATCAAAGAGGGGACAACCTGAGCGGGCACCGCAATTCAATCGTGCTCGGAGAAATGCGAACAGCCGGCTCCGCAAGGGGTAGGCCCGACAGCTAGGCTCGCTACTAACATACGCCAATCTGCAGATCTCGGGGGATATACGAGCAGTTCCACGATATATGTGTCGAGGATGGCCGACAAGAAGGGTGTCACATACGATGCCTTGCAGCGAGGACTCGAATGCTGGGGCGCCACTTGAAGATCGCCATTCAGGAGACTCTGTGACCCGGCCGGTGTAGCCTGGCCGTCACTGGGAGTCAAGCGTGTTTCCCGCATGGCAGAGCACAGGACATGACGGCCATCCTTCACCTTCAATAGCGTAATCGACGGTCACGATCATAGATAGCTGAGAACTGTAAGGCGACAAAGACGTTCGCAGTTTGAGCTCTGTCAGCCTGAGGGTAGGGTTTCGATTGTGCCGGAGTAGAAGCAAGGGGCAGCAAGCTGAGCAGCAGGTGACGAAGAATGCTCTATGTAGAATCCGAAAAGACGAGCTTGTCACACACATGTCATGATGCATCTGGAGAGATCTCTGGCATAACTTAGTCGAATTAGGACCTATGTAGGTCTTGGTTACACGAGAGCAAAATTGGTGCTACGCATGGACAGGGAGGGTTGATAAGAGAGTCAGCGGTGAGAAATGAGAAGAACGCGCCGCCCACTGTGAACTTGAAGTCGACTGGCTAAGTGTGGTGATACTACTAATGGTCGAGCCAGCGCAACGTTAACAGCAGTGCTCAACTTTGATACTAGTAGCGCAGATTTACAGATCATGCGGCCTCTCTACCCAAGAATTTTTGTAATTCATGTCAAGATGTTCTGGCTTGGGTCATACTATCAATGTTTCTGCATGTTTGCAGAACTTGACTGGAGTCGTGTGCGAAGCGGCGGCATACAGTATCACGAGAGAAATTTGGAACTTTTTGGTCGCAAAAAATATGCGAAAACAGCCTGAAAAAATAAGTAAGAAAATGCCATATTTTTCCTCCCGGTATCCGGCGGCCCGGCGACTCGGCAACCCGGCAGCTGAGCCGATTGTCCGCCGGGTGCCGCAGCCACGGGCGCTTTGACAATGGCCTGGCGGACAATCGGCTCGGCTGCCGGGTTGCCGAGTCGCCGGGCCGCCGGAT